GCTGCAAAGAAAATATTTGTTAATTATCTGTCCCTCAAACCTATGAGAAATTGTAGTATTAAAGGAATGGGATGCACTCGTTAACTCTACTGTCACTGACTGGAAGAAGACATTTCCAAACACATTCCAATCCAAAACTGAGTGATAAAGCTTCTGGATAATTTGGGACACCATGGACCACAATTTTTGTGAATTTACCTTGGAGACAATTCACATAGGATTACAAGAGATACTTTCTTTTTCTTTATAAGCCAATCTCTCTAACTTCTTTGCTGCTTTCTTCTAGCCTATGTATGTGGTTATATTTGAAGTTAACGCTCTGCAAGTCAATGACATTTTGCCCTTGTTTATTAATGCATGTGGCATTGTATCTTCCAGCTGGAGGTAAAGCAATCATCACAAACACTTATATAACAGGTGTGAAATTTCTCCTATACTGACACATGTACTTGACGATAGTTATGAATCCTGAAATGAAACTTGGCTTTAGGTATTTCATCTATAGTTTTCTTAAATATTTTCTTTCATTTACTGACTCCATCTTGGTATGTTACGATTTAAATAGGCTTGAAATTTTATCCTCTCTCAGTAAACATCAGAAAAGGAAGGGTGAATATTGCTTGTGTCTTCACGTTTTTGGAAGAAAACTATATGAATGCATTGAAATATTAATTTGGTCAGTAAACACCTGTGTTTTGGGCAACATGCTGAAAAGAGAAATCCAAGAAAAATTTGGCGGGCCAGTGCTGTAGTGCAGTAGGTTAATCCTCCATCCATATGGGCACTGGTTCTAGTCCTACCTGCTCCACTTCCTATCCAGCTCTCTGCTATGGCCTTGGAAAGCAGTAGAAGATGGCCCAGGTCCTTGGGCCCCTCCACCCACATGGGAGACCCAAAAGAAGCTCCTGGCTCCTAGCTTCGGGTTGGCCCAGCTCCGGCTGTTGCAGCCATTTAGGGAGTGAACCAGCAAATGGAAGATCTTTCTTTGTCTCTCCCTCTCACTGTCTGTAACTCTACCTTTCAAATAAATAAATAAAATCTTAAAAAAGAAGAAAAAGAAAAAATATGGGGCCTATTCCCCAGGTGCTCAGAATCTGTAGATATTCAGAACATTAAAAAAAAATCAGTCCAATGCTGTGAGTCAGGTTAGCTCAAACGCTGGAGCAACTCCTCTGAATGAATGGACTCTCCTCCACACAACATACACAAAACCACTCAAACATGTTAGTACATAGATATCTCAAAGTAACATGAATGGAAATGTATAGAGGCCTTAGGGCATGTGGAGATTTAATTCTTATTAAAGGAAGTGATTTTATGCTCAGGGACCATGTGTATAGGAGCTTGACATAGACTTGATGTGAGAATCCAGAAACCCAAACAGATCAGAAGATACTTACTTCCTGAACCATGGCTGGAGTGGAGCCAAGCCTATGAGTAGAAATACAACACCTTCAACAAACCCAGAACTATGAGACTGTGTTGCATATATGTCTCCCTCCCATACAGGAACAGCCAGCCAGAAAAAAAAATGAAAATGTTTCAAGATCAGTAAACTCTAAACAGTACTAGCAGAGCAAATAAGACCTGCAGGTCTCTATACCATAGATGGGGGTGGGGCTCTCCTGCTATGGATCAGTTCATGGCCAAAATGAAAGCCAGAATAGGCTGCAGCCACAAAACCATGTCACAGAACATGCATGTCCCACAATTATTCTACAGACTAAGGAACACATCTTAATGGAAATAACAAACTTTTAGAATACAATAACAATCAAAAATATCAAGCAATCAAATCTGCAGTGGTAACTAGAGAAGCAAATTTAAGGTCTTCAGTTGGAAAATATGTAAAACTATGAATTAAGCACTAAGTTCAAGAATTCAGAAAAACAGTTCATAACTCTAAGAAAGTAAAATCCAAAATAAAGAGAGAAATAGAGATGGTAAAGGCAGAGACAAGTGATTTAGAAAGCAGAGATCATGAGTATAATTAACCACTTGTTTTCTTGCAAAAAAAAAAAAGCAATGAAAACCAAACTAAAACAAAAATCCCTTGGCAAGCTGAAAAAACTAATAATAAAAACAGAACTTAGGGAACCATTAAATAATATTATATACACTTAGGTGGATATAACAGTAAATAGAATAGAGAACTAGATGAAGCTAAACATGAAAAACTCGTTAAAAATTTTATGAAAAAGCATAAAATATGCTAATGAAAGCAAAACAGAGCTAGTCAATGTGCACTTTGAAGTTTTAGTTAAAATCAAGCTTCATTGCCAACACACACACACATCTGTGAGTACAGAATCACAACTATTTTAGGGACAAGTTTTATCACATTTCTGAAGAAAAAGTACAGATTGTTATAAGGATTAGGAAAGGAAAAGAAAGAGGAATTCCAGGTGGGTATCCTACTAGTGAGTTAGGACTTCCTGACAGAGCCCTCGGGTTGGTGCCTGTGAATGTCTCTCGGCCATCACAGCCATGACCCGTGAGCTGGCCACCACCAACCGTTTCCCAAAGCACCGTGAAAGCGTCCTACCCGGTATCTCCACTCTCACTCTGCTTCTGGCAATCTATTTTCTCCAGAGCAGCAAGAGTAACTTCAAAGTAAGTCAAGTCATGACATTTCTTTGTTTGTAAGTTTCCAGTGTCTTCCGATTCCATACAAAATGAAATCCAAGCCTCTTTCCTTACCTTCAGAATCGCACATGATCCACTCAGCCTGTTAGCATCTTGTTACTTTCCCACTGGATCACTCCATTCTAAATCCATTGCTTTTTTTTTTTTCTTTGAAGTTCTTTCAAAAGAATTATTTTACACCAAATATTTGCACGTTGCTATTTTTCTTCATAGAATGCCACTCTTTGTTTACATGCACACAGATACTTTGTATAAATTGATTGCTATATATTCATACTGACATACACACTTAAGAAAGTGGCTCATAAGTTATTATGTATCAAAACAATCTTCAGAGCCTCTTACAATACTGTTTGCTATGCTCAATAGCCCAAACTTTCTGATTCTGGGATATCCCAGTATGTCTGGGACACATCCTTAGGATTTAAATTTCTAGTAAGTTCCAAGATGATGTTGAACTGTTGACTGAGGGACCACACCATAAGGACTTACTTACACAAGTTCTTGATATTTTACTGCTGCCTCTACACTTTTTCTTATTCCTCTTCTGCATTAGAGTTGCAGCTCCATGGTGAATGTTCTCCTGTTCGAAACCTTCCGTAATTTCTGCGAGAACACACAGGTTGAGCTGAGCCCCTCACTGCTTTGGTAGTTATCCTGGAAGTCATCTCAGAGATTGCATTTACATGTTTTTAAAATGTGCTGATGACCTTGATAAGACAAACGCAGCGGCAGAACCCAGAGTGAGATACACTGAGAAATGAATTAAAAGAGGCTTTGAACACAATGGATGTGGCCTTTTTTTTAAGAGAGGAGACTGCTGAGAAATTCAGTGGGAAGAAAGTGAGGGTGTATTTTTTGTATTTTTGTGGATGTGTTAACACACACATATCTGACATAAGTTGAATGGAAGTGAATATTAGAGTTTTAGGAATCACAGAACTGAGAGTCTAAGAGTAAACACATCACGCAGACAGAACATTCAGAAACTATGGCAAGATTTAAGGAACAAATGGAGAACTAGAAAGACACAGAAAAATTGCCAGATGGTGGACGACAGCCAGAAGCTGGAACTATTGTTGTAAAATGCATTTTAGTCTTGCTTAAAATAATAACCGTTTTCCTGTGGTCTTTTTTTAATTGTTTCCATCAGTGTTGAATATTCTTAGGACATTGGTGAATGAGGAACAAGCTTAGGCCAGCTTCTGCCCTAGGCTCAGGGGTGTAAGAGATTTCAGACAGGAAAGTGTGGACTGAGAAGTTGTGATCTCAGGACAGATATGAATTTGAATAAAACCAGGTGTTAGGAGAACCTTGGTGTTGGAAGTCAAAGTCTTTCTGTTTCCTGAGTAATGACTGGATTGAGATTCTGCAGTTCTCAACACTTCAGATACCTTGTGTTGGCAGAGATGTTTTCGAAGCATATTCACAAGACCGTCTTAAAGACTAGAGAGCCAACTATGCAGCCCAATATCAGAAATCCATTGCCAATATTAACTAGCATGTTTAAGATCAAGAATCCATGCTGCCTTTTTTTTTTTTTTTTTTTGACAACTTTTATTGCTACCAGAGGCTTTTAACATCAGGACCTGGTTCTGACTGTAGTGCCGCCTTCAGACTGCAAAGGGAGCTCAGGATCCAGAAGTCATTAAGAGGAACAAAGGTAGGTTGGGGAGATGGGAAGTAACTTTTATCAAGAAAATCCCAATACAGAATTAAAACTAGGGTACTGAATTTAGTTAGTACATGTAACACTCAAATCATAGAGCTGCCCAACATCTAGACATTCTCCTACTGATTATAAATGAGTGGAAACCCATCAGTTACAAAAACCTAATTTTAGTTGTTACATATTTCTTTGGTGAACACCTTGATATATTAACTTTATCACAAATTCTTTTATATGCAAATGTCAAAAATGCTTTCAGCAAATCTATGGGTGACCTAATATGTGCCACTTTAAAAAGCATCTCTTAAAGACAGTGATTTTTGCTTTCAAACAATAGAAACTGAAATAAGCGAAGTGGTATTGTGAGCAATTTTCCTATTACCACTTCTTACTTCACACAGGACAATTCCACAGTACCTTTCTCAAACTAGGTAGAATTTGAATCAGGATTAAACATGGCCATTAAGCTGAAATAATTGTTTTAAAAATTGGGGGGGGCCTTTTCGGTGGATATTGGGGTATAGATCAACATGCATAAAATTCATTATTCAATGGAGAAGCAGGCAAAAGCAACAGGAAAATTTGGTTTGGATGCTGGGGATAGGATTTGCAAGCTATGAATTCTAAAATTTAAAGAAAAAATTTTGACACAGGGCAAGCTACATTTTAACAGAAGAGCAGAACTGACAGACTACAAGGGGATTTTTTACTTTTTTAAAAAAATTTTGGATATTTCTGAAGTAGATAGATATATGTATCTATCTCAATATAGCTGTCTTTATGTGAAGTACTGAATTACAATTAGCCACATAACGAAATGGGGGGATTTGTTTCTGGCTCACTTCAGATCAGCCTGATAAGGTATATATCTTTCTATAGCCTTTCCTGATTTTTCCGTGTTCTCATTTCTAGAGTGGTCTACCTTAGTTTGTACTTGAAGGTAATACCCATTCAAACTACATGATAGAAACAGGCTGCAAAGGTGGACAAGGGGAATCATATCCCTCTTGTCTTGATAAATCAGTGCCACACACAGAACCCACGTTTTCTGAAGCATTATCTTCATTATAGAGCCATTTGATTCCATCGTAGAAGTCATCCACTTCCATTTCCTCTACTTTGCGTTTAGCAGAGGTATGCTTGCACCCAAGGGCAGCTGGGAAATGATGGTAGAAAGCTGCTGTACCTCTGACTGGCATTTCTGGCTTGCTGTTGTCCGTGGAGGAATCTGGGCCCGGGACAGAGAAGGGATGTAATCTGAACACTCCTTTGTCACAGGTCACCAGGGTGTGCTTGAGGGGACGGTAGACATAAACGGAATTTAGAGGCAGGGAAGACTCCAGAGTAGAAAGGTGGTGTGCCACAAGCTCCCGACAGTGGATCAGCTGGGAGCTCTCCATCTGTGCTTTCTGAAGCAGTTCAAGTGTAAGAGGAAGCCAATCAGGAATGAGTTTCTCCATTTCCAAACTAACTATGGCCAGAGCAAGCATGGATCCTTTGAACTGCAGAAGGTGGCTGCAGGCCATACAGTGAAGCAGTTGCTTGGTGAGGACTGCCAGATGTTGAGATGGGCTCAATTTGGGCAAACTGAACAGTAACTGTGGCCTAGTTGACACTGCCATGGCATGAAAAATGTGAAGAAAATCCAATGGTGTGGCTGTGTGAAGATCCCAATTCAACTTATCCAGAATAATTCTCTCCATTCTCAGAATTTCAGATGAGGAACATCCACAGAAACTATCTCTTGCCAATACCTTCAGTACTGGAATTCTCTCATCTTCCTCAACAGTCTTAGCAGCTAGGAAAAAACAACTGATGGCAATACAACTCAAATATTTCGGGTGGGCCTTTACAGTAGCTAAAAACCTGTCCAAAAGACTGCTAGCCAGAGCAAACGTTTCTGGGTAAAGATCGAACTGGTACTTGAGTTTGGCCAGCCACTGAATTACTTCATCTCTCTGGGATGGAGAAACATTCTGATCTGTAGGGAATTTCGGCACAGTCACCTTCCACATCTGGGCTTCCCTAGAGATTGCCTTTTCCAATAGGAAAGACAATCTCTGGTTTTCCAAGGGTCCTGGAAACTTCATGATATCCTTTGGAGCTGCCTGCCACCCAGCTTGATGTAGCTACCTTCTCCTCTTCCTCCTCCTCCTCCTCCTCCTCCACCCCGGCAGAGCTGTAGGCCTCACAGGGGTGACGCGGGGTCATCCGGGGGCCCCGTCACCGCCTCATTCTCCTCAGCGCGCGACGTCGGGGCGCGCGGGACACGGAGCCGGCCGATGAGGAGGGAGAAGAGGGGGAGCGGGGCACGGAGGGCGCAGGCACTCGGGCGGGACACACGCCTGCGGCCGGCCAGGCGCTCAGCGAGTTAGTTCCATGGTGACCCTGGACGTGAGGCCGCCGCCGCCGGTCCCGCTCCTCCAACCGCCGCCGCTGGTGCCCGGGTGAGGAGGGGGCTCCCTCTCGCCATAGGGCGGCGGGGGCCGGGGAGAGGCGGGGGGGGAGGCCGGCTCTGCCCCTGCCCGGGGGAAGCGCCTCCGAGGGGAAATGGTGAAAGGGGGGAAGGGGAGAAAAAGGGAGAAAAAAAAAAAGGAAGGGGAAAGGGGGGGAAAATAAGAAAAAGCGTCTGCTCGAGGGGAAGGCTGGGGAGGGAGGGGAGGGGAGGAAGAAGTGCCGCGCCTTTTTCTTTTTAAAAAGAGTTATGTATTTGAAAGGCAGAGATACAGAGAAGGAGAGAGGGAGAGAGAAAGAGCAAGAGCGAGCAAGCGAGAGAGAATTGATCGTCCATACACTGGTTCACCCCCAAAATGAGAGCGATGGCCTGGGTAGGGCTGGGATCAAAGCTACGGACAAGGACAAGATGCAGTCCATGTGTCCCATGTAGGTGACAGAAATCCAACTGAGCATTCACTGCAGCCTCCCTCCCGTGGTCTGCATTAGCAGGAAGCTGAGTCAGGAGCTGGAACCAGGACTTGAACACAGGCACTCAGATGTGAAATGCAAGCACCTTAACCACTGGGCTAAGTGCCAGCTCCCTATATTTTAATTATTTATGAAAGCTCTCTTATTCAATAAAAGCCAAGACAGTCCTCACCAGACCACCCCTAGCTCCCTACCTCATTACACACACACACACACACACACACACACACTCACACACACACCATCTTCTTAACAGAATGTCTGGGAAACAGTGATCCTTATAATAGTCTTATGACTCCTACTGATCACTTCCTTTGGCAACACATTCCAAATATCTGAATTCTAGTAATAGGTATGGGTGTCATCCTTCCCAATCTACTTCCTGATTTTTAGACAGATTTTGTCTTTGTTCAATTATTTGAAAGATAATTTATTTCCAAACATTCTTTCTGGCATGTTTTCTGTTTCTACATTTCTCCTACAGGAATAATATGCATATATTATTATGTTTTGCGATATGATAGTACTTTCTCTAATCTCTGCTGCTTTACATTAAAGATTTATATATTTATTTGAAAGAGTCTCTCAGACAACACACATACAGAAAGAGAGATGGGGAAAGAGAAAGAGGTCTTCTATCTGCTGGTTCACTCCCCAGATGGCTGCTAAAGCTAAAGCCTGAAATCCATGTTTGTCTCCCACATGAGCTGCAGGGACTCAGGGACTTGAGCCATCATCATTCACTGCCTTCCCAGGCATATCTGCAGGAAGCTGGATCAGACGCAGAACAGCTAAGATTGTAACTGGTGCTGCAATGTTGGATGCCTTCCTCACAAGCAGTGGCTTAATCTGATGCATCACAATACCAGCCCTGCTATTTTTAAATTCTTTAATCCAATAAATTTTATAATAGTTACAGTAAAGGCTGAGATAATATATTTTAGAATTTACATCAGCTCCTAGATCAGACATTTGTTACCTGTGGGGTTTGTGTTTGACCAATTATTGTGAACACACGTATTTTTACTTAAGAACACTTAAAAATTCAAACTAAAAATTAAATAAACTATGTGTTTTTTACTATCCAAAGATAATGATTGGTAAAATTTTAAATTATTTCTGATTTACCTTTTTGCATATCATTATATTAAAGATTATATAGAATTATCTAGGCCGGCGCCGCGGCTCACTAGGCTAATCCTCCGCCTTGCGGCGCCGGCACACTGAGTTCTAGTCCCTGTCAGGGCGCCGGATTCTGTCCCAGTTGCCCCCCTTCCAGGCCAGCTCTCTGCTGTGGCCAGGGAGTGCAGTGGAGGATGGCCCAAGTGCTTGGGCCCTGCACCCCATGGGAGACCAGGAGAAGCACCTGGCTCCTGCCATCGGATCAGTGCAGCGCGCCAGCTGCAGTGGCCATTGGAGGGTGAACCAACGGCAAAGGAAGACCTTTCTCTCTGTCTCTCTCTCTCACTGTCCACTCTGCCTGTCCAAAAAAATATATATATATAGAGAGAATTATCTATACACTGAATTTTGTCATCAGATTTATTTTTCCATTGCATTTTGTTATATTTATAATGATTGCATGATTATTTTCTTTATGGTTCATAAGTATAAAGATTAAAAATATTAACTTTTTTGGTTAAGTAATTAAATTAGAAGTAATATTTAAACACCTACAAATATAAAAATTTATTACATGTCAGTTTTGCTATTTGTATACTCTCCCTCAGTTAATGCTCAGTAATAAAATTCCAGATGTATACTCAAGTTATTTGTAAATTAAATTTCTAAGTAACATTAGGTTCTTCTGCTTAAAAACAAATTTTATTTGTACTTGATTAATAAAGAAACTGACATTTGATTTCATTTTCTAACCTTGAAACTGAATTAAATATTCATTTGAAAATGATTTCATATCATAATTTTTCCACTGAAAACTTTTCAGCCATAATGAAATGTATGATGTTTTTAGAATATTATTCAATAGAAGTGATTAATTGCAGTGACATAATTGATTCCTTTACCCTAGCTGAGTTGCAAGGTGTCCTCTTTTGAGGGCTTTTGTTTTGTAGAACCTTTTTCTTTTCCTTTTTTTTGTAAGATTTATTTACTTATCTGAAAGGCAGAATTACAGAGAGTGGGAGAGACAGAGAGAGAGGTCTTCCATCTGCTGGTTCACTCCCCAAATGGCTGCAACAGCCAGAGCTAGGCCTATCTGAAACCAGGGGCCAAGATCTTCTCCTGGGTCTCCCACTTGGGTGCAAGGGCCAAGCACTTGGGCCATCTTCTACTGCTTTCCCAGGCCATTAGCAGAGAACTGGATCAGAAGAGAGCAGCTGGGACGTGAACCAGCATCCATTTGGGATGCCGGCAATGTAGGCGGGGGCTTAGCTTACTTTGCCATAGCACTGGCCCCTCCATATGTTTCTAAAAATTAGAACTATCAACACAATAAAGAACAGACTCTTTCTGGTATGGATTTTGCATATTTTATTTGTAAGATAGGATTTGAGTGAAAAAGGCAGCCTTCCTATTCACTTCTGGGAAACTAAAATTATTTATAAACTATGAATGACAAGCCAGTCTCATTATTTGTGGTCATATTGGAGATTTTTGCTGATTCTTGCAATAATTTTACCGTGTTCTTTGCAGCTGATGTCATTGTTGCTGCTTCCATAGTAATTTACTCTGGCACTGCAGAGGGCTTGTGGCAACATCTGACTCTCATTTGTCTTTTCAAATAACCTTGTGGCACTCACATACTTACTGGAATAATTGTACGCTGGTAGGCATGAGTAACTCCAGAGATCCAAACATAAAAACATGATAGAAAAGATAGAAGCAATAAAGAAAAAGATTTGTAGATACACTCCTGTTTACTGAGTCTATAGGGTTGCCTTGACTGTATGCACATATAATCTGTGCTTGACACTTTGCTTATGGCCTCGTCTAAATACTGATGGAGTCTGTGGATTCAAAAGGCTTCCATAGACTAGGCAGCTCATGTCTGGTGATTACTGACGTCATACATAAGAGTGTTAATTGTTAAATTAACAATGGGAGTCACTGTGCACTAACTCCCCGTGTAGGACCTCTGTCCTTAAAGAGTTGTATTATAACTATGCATAAGTGCTCGCAAAAGATATATCAGTCTTAGGTGTTTCTTTAAAGTTAAGTTGGGGCAGGCACTGTGGCATAGCTGGTGAGGCCTTCGCCTGCAGTGCCGGTATCCCATGTGAGTGCCAGTTTGAGTACCGGCTGTTCTACTTCCTATCCAGCTCTCTGTTGTGGCCTGGGAAAGCAGTGGAAGATGGCCCAAGTCCTTGGGTCCCTGCACCCACGTGGGAAACTCAGAGGAGGCTCCTGGCTCCTGGCTTCGGATAGGTGCAGCTCCAGCTGTTGCGGCTGACTGGGGAGTGAACCAGCAGATGGAAGACTTCTCTCTCTCTCTCTCTCTCTCTCTCTCTCTCTGCCTCTCCTTCTCTCTCTGTGTAACTCTGACTTTCAAGTAAAATAAATAAAAAAATCTCAAAGTTAATTAAGTTTCTAAAAAAAAAGGAAGTGCAATTAACTTCAACATGCAATGACTTTGAACAACCCTTGTCTTGACTATTGAGGAACAGTATTTTTTTTTAGTTTTGTTTTGTTTTTGTTTGCCATACAATTTGTTGAACCCTTAGTATAGAGTTGGTCTTCTGTGTATAAAGTTAATCAAAAATGGATCTTAGTGGAGAATGGGACTGGGAATGGGAGAGGGAGGAAGAGGAGGGATGGGAGGGTGGCTATGGTGGGAAGAATCACTGTATTCCTAAAGTTGTACTTATGAAATGCCTGAAGTCTGTATTCCTTAAATAAAAGGTGTCTTTGGGGGGAATATATATATATAGATAGATAGATAAAAATATAATATATATATATAATATATAAAATGGAAATATAATATATAAAATAATCTGTGCTTGCATATGCAGATTGCATGGGGAGAGAAGATTCTGGTTCCCAAAGAGAAAAGAGTGAATTTCTCATGATACATCCGGGGACTATTCTACTTCCAGGAACCATTGCTGGGAAGGTTTTCTTCTCTTCCTGCCCCCTCAATTTTTTTCCTTTCTGATTAGGGCAGAGGGATTGACTGATGACAACTTTTTCCTAGGGGACTCAGCCTCATCTGTGGCTTCGGTGACCTTAGCTGTTTCTTTCTGTCCAGCAGGATGGTGTGGGGGTGGAGGAGGCTATGTCAGAGTTCACAGTTCCCTGATCCTTGTGTCAAGGCTTGAAACATGACAGCATAAAGATTCCGATCTGTCATAGGCTCTCCGACTTGCTATTTTTTAAGTTAGGACAAGTGGAGACCCTGTAAGAGCTTGTTTGACTTTTCAAATTATTAATCAGTGGAATATTTTGAGAATTTGCATGCAATGAGTTATGTAATTTTCCATCAACATTCTAAACACACTACAAGTCTTTGTATTCCTGCTCACGGGTGCACACCCCTACCAGTAAGAGATTTTATTAAGATATTTAGTGGAGGCTCACTCATGAATATTGTGCACATAACAGGCATTCAATAAATAATTTTGCGACTGAAGATAATGAATAATGAGAAAAAAATTAAAGTTCAACAGAGCATGGGCCTTGTCTATTTTTGCACTGGTAAATCACTAACAGAAGAACAAGGGTT